CTCCGGTAAGTGCGCGGATGTTTTCTATTACTTCTCTTGAACTTTGCGCTGATTTTGTTGTTGTTGTTGTTGTTGTTCACCATCATCATCATTATTGTTATTATCGCTTGTGGCCGGCCGAGCTGCTTCCCTACCGAGGAGGGTGCTGGGGCTGCTGAAATCTGCCCCCCTGCCTCCTCCAAACGCCCTTCGTGGGGTCACAGTGCGGTGAGGGAGCCGCTCCGCAAAAGGGGATTAAAAAACGTCACCAAATCTGCCCCACCAAAGTCGCATGTGGCAACCTCGGTGCACTTCATAGCCAGCAGAAGCCCCCGGGGAAGGTCCTGATGGCAGGGCGAATTGGTGGCTCTATCATCTCGCTTCAGTCAGTGCCTCCGGATGGGATTTGGCCCATAGGAACACATGGATGTCGTGCTGCTGGTTTGTATATAATGAATGTTGTCCCGCTTAAGTGCTAAAAACTCCTTTGACATAATTGCATTTTCCATTTTCTGACGTAATTTTTATTATCCACTTGATTTTAAGAGGGGCTGAAGCCTTTTTTGCATTTGAAATAAAATTACGCTCAGTATGGCCAGGCCATGTGTCAAAGAAAATCATAATAATAACGTACTCTGATTTTTCTAGCACGCACCTCATCAGATAGTTTCAAAGCTCAGGAGTAAACGTAGGCCGCTTCCGCGGTGCCGGGTGGGTTTAATCGCTCCTTGCACCCTCCGCGCGTCCCGCTGCCTTTGCTCGTGCGGCGCCACCGAGCCGTGTGTGGGGTAGAGCCCCTGGCACGGGGACTGAACCGGCATTTCTGCGTCTTCGGCTGAGGCAGTTCAGTGCGGAGGGCGCTGGAGCCAGGACTGGGATTTTCCTGTGACACACAGGGATTTTGCAGAACCCAGCGTGCTGCCCGGGCACGGAGGGGCTTTGTGAGGGTGCCCGCTCAGTTAGCGGGAGCTCGAGGGATGGAGTGTGCCCACTGCACACGTGATATTCTGCGAATGTCATTACCTGTCATTGTGCTGTAGAGTTTGTGACAAAGAGCTCAGTTTGACGCGGTCGGGTGTCAGGGTTTCCGTAGAGGGGCCGAGGAATTTCCCTGCAAGGCTCAAATCCCAAGGCGTGGGGGTGCATGACTACGCGGTGTGTCATTTCCCGAGGAACTGCCATTACTGCATCCACAGATTTTCCATAATAATCACATTTCAGATGGCTAATTTCGACAGCATCTTGCAGAAGACAGAGTATTTTTCTGCACATTTAGTGAAAATCAGTGGGTAGCAGAGCACTGGCAGCTGAACTAAGGCTTAATGTCCTCAGGCAGGGCAGAGCTCAGCCCTTTTTTGGCAGGTGGGGGCAGTATTGAAGGGGTGAATGATGGTGTATTCCTAGCTTGCTAATCAGCATGCAGATCTCCTAACAACAACAACAACAAAATCCCAGTGCATATTTTATTGGTGAGCTGTAAGGGATGCAGTGAGTCCGTTGGGATTCATTGTTTGCCACTGGGAATACAGGGCTCACACTTTGACAAGCAGTAATTTCTAAGAGTCAGTGCTGGAAAGGGTGCCTCTGGCCATCACCCAAATTAGCAATGTTTGTTTTTGTTACATTAGTATCTTGCACAGGGCTTAATCTTCAGCCTTGTATGACACTTGATTGATTCAAGTTTTGATTAAAAAGCATATTATGTTTTTTTCCTTGTAGAAAATGCAAATAATCTTATGTTTACAGATATGGAGAAAAATAATTTCATGTGATCTCTGCAAAAGGCACTTGCAGAAAGCAAAGTACAAAGTTTTCTGCAAAGGCTGTACAGATTTCCATTTGTTTGCAATTTGTGTCTGGAACAAAGATAATGGATTTGGGATAATAAATAATCTCAGTCTCTGGAATTTTTTCTAGTAAAGCAAAGCAAGGTGACCAAGGAGTAAAAAATAAATGTATTGTGTCAGAGTTGGCATAATATTTATTTGTCATATACGCAATATTTAATTGAGCAAATAAATTTTGATCCAAGTATGCCTGTTATTGTTATTCTTTGTTATTTCGCATCTCCTACCCTTCTCGTTTCTCATGTGTCTCCTCTGCCGGTTGGCAGAGCCCACGGCAGCTACAATCCGTGGTGCTGCAGGACGCCGAAGGCAGCAGCAGGTCTGTAGGACAGCCATTTTGAGCTGTTGTTTCCCTCCAAAGAGAGCTCGACTGCGTTATGTACTAAATTTGCCGATGCATTTTGTCTCTATGTTTGTTGGGGAAAAAAAATGTAAACTCGAGAAAGAAAAGGATGCAATTCCCTGCTAATGATAAGAAATTAGCTATTTATTTCTGTGAATCAACGGTTGCAGCATGCACTTAGCTGTTTTCTAGTGCGATGACTGAGGTTATATAGCCTAGAACTCTCTTAGTTCTGGTAATAATTGCCTGCTATGCACCATTTGTCTTCTTCCCGCTTACCTCGTTGATGATTCATATATTTTGTTTGAAATCGAGAAGATAATTTTTTTTTAAGATGTGAGGAGGCCAAGGCAGAATTGTAATTTTAAAATACAATGCGAATGCAAAGTGGGAGAAGATGTGCTTAGGGAAGGCACTACCTCTGTTGACTCACTGTGCTGGCTTTGCATTTGCATGTGAAAAGGCCCTGGAATTAACATGTTATCCGCAGAGCATGAGCAAGCAGCAGACGGGGAGGCTGAGGGCACTTGCTAAGGGGACGGTTTTAGAGCTTTGTATTGCTCTGCTTGGCACTTCAGCTGCTCGGGTGTTGCAGTGCGCGCTGCACGCTCACGGGAGCTCCGAGCGCTCCTCCAGCGCGGAGCCGCGCACCGGGTGCGCTCGGATCCCACCGGAGCTCTGCTGGGAACAGGTTGGCAGCGGAGGTGCGGCCAGGAGCGCTAACGCAGCGGCTGCCTCCTGCGTGGTTCTTGTCCTCAGCCCTCCTCGCTTCCTGCCTTCGTGAGTTACCGATGCCAGGAGCACGCTCTGCCAAAGGCCCTGCGGTGCCTGGCCCATCCGTGCAGGTCCAAACGGGCACCGCTGCCATCATCGTCCTGCCTCCTCTCCTCCCAGAGCTGGGAGCAGAGCCAGCCTCTCTCCCTGTTCCCTGCTCCCAGGGATTCGCTCTGCCTCCCAGAGGGGAGCTGCAGCTCCAGCTGGGCTGGAGCAAGCGCCTCTCTCATCCCTAACCCTCAGAAGAAAAAGAAGACTGTCCGTTCTTTGGGAAACTGCCTTTTTTTGCCAGCAGGATGCAGGCAAAACTTGCCTGTCACAAATTAAGGACCGAGAAAATGCAGAGGGTGTGCATACCCGGCCATAATTTTAGGATGTGTCATGCTGACTTTGGGCAGGACTTGCTGCGCCATGATCGTTTTAACTGTTTCTACTTGATACTTGCTTAGTCTTTAGATATCTGGACAAAAATGTAGATGGCAACGAGGGGTATTTTCCAACTCTAGCTGGTGATTAAATCCCTCAGTAGCACGGAAAGTCTAAAAATATTTATTTGCTGGGACAGGAAAGGACAGGAAACCCCTGCTGCAATTTCAGCCTGCCTGGAAGGGCTCTTTGCACAGATGGAGGGCAGTGCAGACAGCGGAGCAATCCTGACAAATAAACTCAGGATGTCACTGGAAAGAAAACGACGCAAAAAGAAAAGCGATTTTTTAACACTGCCAAAATATTAGTCAGAAATTTGTTCTTTATTGCTATACTTACTATGCTGATCAGGGATACCCTGCATTTCCCTATGCTGCTGCCTGTCAGTTTAAACAAGGTTATTATCTCTACCTGCCAAATTTCTTCTGTGATCTCATAATATAAGAAAACAGGTAAAAATAAGCATAATTAATAATTATAGAGATTTTACTGTCCAAAAAACTTCAGGAAGTAATTTTCTCAGTAGAATATGAATACAGTATATTACAGTGTATATTCTCTACTAAATACAGTGAGAACTTATATCATCTTCAGAAATTAGTGACTAGGGTTAGATTACCTAGCTGGCTTTTTAAACAGATCCAAATGGCCTGTCAAAGGTATTTTGCCATATCTCACTGGAAAATTAAAATTAAACCAAGAAAAAAAAAATCAAGAAAAAAATGTAGTAGCCTGGCTCATGAATCTCTCACTGCTGATTAAATAAAAATAACAGTGCATCCTTTTGTTCTGTTTTCTTAAGATCAGGACGGTTAATTGAGAAAATGGATGTGTCTTCTCACAAACACCCAGTCAAAAAACAAGTGAAAATCAATTCCAACACAGTAACAGTGAAGTGTACTTCCCATTATCCCCAGCCAAAAGAGGGGGATGAGGATGGCAATGAAGATACTGGAATATTTATGGAGGAGAATCCTAAGAAAATATTACTGCGTGATGGCAGAAAGAGAGAAAGGACCTTTGTTGGAACAATAGACATCCAGCTTCAGCCAACACAACTGCCAAAACATGAGACTGGGCAATTCCCAAATCTTCCTCAAGGAAGCATCCTGCAGTCAAGAAAAACTTTGGTGGTTCTTTTTGGATCTGCGGTGGCTCATGGATGTGTAGCTCTGATAACAAGATTAATTTCTGATTGTTCCAAAGTGCCATCCCTTGAGTTGATTTTGATCCATTCAGGGTTACAGGTGCTGTCATGGTTGTGTGTTACTACCATGAGCCTCCCTTGGGCCCCGAAGGGTACAGACTGCAGCTCTACGGCATCTGCAATGTTATCTCCATTACCTGCGCCTATACTGCCTTCTCTATAGTGCCCCCCAGCATTGGGACCATCACGTGGAGGGCTATCCCAACAGCGTTCAATGCCATTTTGGCTTTTTTACTCCTAGGTGAAGGAATGGCTCAGACAGACATAATTACTGTACTTGGCAGCGCGTTTGGTGTGTGTCTAGTCATGACTCCCAACATTGTGAGTGAGGAAGACTCTTTGCTGGGCACATGGAAGGAGGCTTTTGGCTACACCATGACCGTGATGGCAGGTTTGACCGCTGCTCTCTCCATGATCGTCTACAGGCCAGTCAAAGCTAATGTCAGCATGTGGACAGCGCTGTTCACCTTTAGCTGGACAGGAACCGTGTGGGGAGCATCCACCATGTTTTTCCTTCAAGAGCCAATTGTCCCACTGGATGGAGAAACCTGGAGCTATCTCCTTGCCCTCTGCCTGTGCTCCACAGCAGCTTTCCTAGGGGTCTACTATGCCCTGAGCAAGTTCCACCCCACTCTGGTCAGCACCGTGCAGCACTTGGAGATAGTCCTTGCCATGGTCCTGCAGCTCCTCTTGCTGCAAATCTTTTCAGGTGCTTACAAGGTTCTTGGTGGAGCAGTTATTTTGGTTAGTGTTTTTTTCCCTCGTGTGCTGTAAATTGTCATGGAAGAATTTAGGAAGACAGGATTATCAAGAGATTGTGGATTCTTCCATTAAATGAATTCCAGCTTTGCTGTTCGATCCTGGTATCTGGCTGATAGAGCAGTATTTCAACTCTCTGTTTTAGAAGAGTCATCAGGCTCCATCATTACTGTTTAAATTCATAGCTGATGTAGCAATGTCAGAATTTCCAGAGTTGCATGACAGATTAATTTGTCCCAGTGTGTAAAATCCCTGACATTTTTGACATATAGGAAAAATATACATCTCAAGCATGTAGGGTTTGTGAGCAGAGGGCAGACTGTCCTACAGAAGTGCAGACTGGATCCTAGGCATTTTCCTCTTCCCCTTCCCTGGATAAGGAAGAAAGATTCACTAGTGACTCTCCATCTGTACTGTGAGAGTAGGAAAAATGAACAGTAAAGGCCTTAAAACAGTGAACCAAAGTGTTCAAACCCCATGTGTCATTCCCTAAGCGCTGACTGTAATACTTCAAATGAAGTAATATTTGTATTTCTGTGATTTTTAACTTGCACTTCCTGTGTGCACCTGAAAAGAATAAATCAGTAAAGCTTTTTGTGCTCTGTCGTTAAATTTCAGTCTGAAACTAGATTACCTACTGGGGAGAAAGCTCCAAAAACTGGATCTCTGTGGTCAGTTGGCCACAGCTGTGACAGAAAATTCCCTGCAAACTAGAAGATCTAGCAGGGAGACAGCCCCCATCTGCACAGGCTGTACGAGGACCAGCAGAAAGTGCCCGCAGGCTGCGTTGTGGTGCATGGAGCACTAGGTAGGAGGAACTGGTATGAAACAGAAGCAAAGATCCCTTCCAATAGAGACTGCAAGGACCTTGGCTTCAGTCCTTTTCCCTTGAGAGGTTTGAAAAGTCCCTGCCTGTCTGGATAGGCTTTGTTTTAAATTCAGAGTAGGATCAAAGACAAGTTTAAAGGAGCCACAACTTGTGAAAAGCTAATGAGATACACCATCAACCCAGTGCTTAAAACAATTTGCTGTAGCAAACCTCTGGACAGGAATGAATGTTAGTACAGTACCTACAGCCAGCCTGGTTTGCATGTATATTCTAGGGGGCTCGTATATGCCATGATATGGGCATAGATCTATAGGAGAGGAAGTTCTAGCTATATAGGTAGAACTATATAGTTATAGTGCCTTAGGAGGGGATTGCTCTAGGAGCCGGGACTGGACCAGCCTTTTCCTGCCCTCCACAGCTTCCTTGCTGAAGAGTTTACACTCTCTCAAGGAAAGATTTGCAGCAATTTGGAAACATAATTGAATTTAAGAGAATTACCATGGAAATCCTCATGGAAACTCCGCTGCAGAGATTAACTGTCACTGGATGACAACAGATTTGGAGGCACATGGTTGCATTTAAAGAGTCAAAGAATGAGCGTCCTTGCAAGGAGGAAGGAAAAAAAAAAGGATGGAAGTTTATCTAGACTGCGGCAGGACTGCAGGCGTAGGTAGCATCTGAAAGGGCACTGGATGCTCCCGGGGTTGCTCATATCTCATTTGCAGGGCTCGCCATCCTGATACCTTTCAGCACCCAGTCTTGTAGCTGGATCATCTCCAAAATGCTGTGGAGTTAAAAGCAAGTGGTTGAGGTTTACAGGCAGGGACAGAGGTATAACACAGGGCTCAGTCATGCTGGGCAGCTTTGGGTCGGCTTCTGACAAAGCTTCAGGGGTCTCTGATGTGACGTGCACCATGACCCGTGTCCTTTGTCCCCCTGGGGCTCAGTCCGCCCCATCCCTGCATCCTCTTCTCTCCCTGCTTGCCCCTGTGCCTCCTGCTGGGCCGTACACAGCCCCATCACTTGCACCAGTGACAAGGGCTCTCTGGCACTGCAGCTGGGACCCCTCCAGCCTCTCCCTCCCCAGCCTCCTTCACCAGAATGAGGCAGGTTATCCTCCTGCCCTGAGGAATGAGGCACTCTCACAGACTGGGGTTGGGGACCCTGACAGGGCAAGCGAGGTGCTGCCACACAAGCATCCCAGGCCTCAGCTGGAGCTCGCAGGCACTTACTCCTCTGGCAGGAACTTCAGCAGGTTGGGTTCTTTCTGCTTCTCATGCTTTCCCCACTTCTGCTTAATCTTCTCCTTGAGCCCTTGGTCGTATGCCTTTCTCTTGATGAGGGCAGGCGTGCTCTCCTCAAGAGAGCAGGGTTTCTGCAGGGCAGATGCAGATGCTTACGCACAGCGCCCAGCTCGACCCTGCTGCTTTCCCTCTGCAGACCCCATAGGTGACAGGCAAGAGGCACTGACAACCCAAAGTGTCACTTCACCACAATCCCTGCTGGGGGTAGTATGATCCGGCCAGGGTTTCACTGCAGCTCCCAGCCAGCTCCTGTGCTAGCGGAGGCAATTGCCTTTTGTAGGAACTAAAAGGAATTCTAAGGGGTTTGGCAAGCAAGGCCAAATGACTGATGATCCCTTCTAGCCTCCACTTGCAACATGAGCATTAGCAATCATGCCCCCCCACCACCTGCTTCTCCAATAACTGACATCCTAGAAATATAATTTGATCATGAGGAGATCCAGTTTCAGATGTTTCTTTGCCTGCCCCATATCCTTCTGGACATCACGTCTCCAGTTTGACAAGGACATGACCAGGATGGGAATTCACTTTTCCTCTCTGAAACCACAAAAGGTTTCTCACCAAGCGTTCTGTGCTCTGTAAGAGCTTCCTCCATCTTTTGAGGTCAGCCCCCTCCAGAGTGTAGCCATATCCTTCCTCTGGAACCACCTTTTCTAAAAGAGGTTTCAGCTGTTATACAAGAAAAAAAAACAGATTGCATTTGAGACGGAGGGGTGAGCAGCGCAGACACTGCTGAACAGTGTAACAGGCATCTAGTGACTGAAACTGTTCTCAACACAGTCAGCCCTACCTTTTTCCCAACCCACAGGAATGCTAAAAGACTTAGCTTCTTGTCCCCTGGAGACTTGCCTTAAAAAAAAAAAAAATGTGCTTGTGTCCTAGCACTTTAGTTAAAAATTAGATTGACGAAACCCTCCAGGGTTTATGATTACAAATTGTACTCCTGGTCATGCTAACACAGAGCTAGTAAAAAGAAAGACCTGCTCGAGCCGCGTCCAGGCAGGCAATCGGGACTGGCTCAGGCCATTTGGCTGTGAAAACCCTGTGCCCAGCCTCTAGCGGGTGCTCCATGGGCAGAACCTGCCCCAGCTCAAGGCAGGGATCATCCCCCCCATCACCTCCCCAGCAGGCTGCGACTTTGATACCTGAAGTGCTTTCAAACCACAGCCCCCGCTGAGAGAAAGGCTATTTTCCCACATGCTTTAAATGCTGCCGGTACCTTGGCCACCCACTGCTCTTCCTTCGCTCTCCTCGCTAGCGCGGCTGCCAGCTCCGCTCTTTCTCTCCGGCGCCTGTCTTGGTCCCACGTTGCCCAGCGGTTTTTTTGGTCCCACGGGGTAGGCAGGTATTTTACCTCCTAGAGGGCCACAGAGGCATACGGGTATGCAACAGCACTGCACATCTGCTGTTTGAGACTACAGAAATACATCATCTACTGCCAAAAAAGAGTAACTGCCATCTTTTCAAGCAGCAATGTAACACTCACATGAACACACATTAAAGGGTCTCTTAAGAATCAGTGTCTGTGACTGTGCTGCAACGCAGTAACTGTGCCAGTGCCGCCCCTACCTTTCGTGCTCTGCGGTGCCCTTCATGGACAGTCCAAGGCTGGTCATCAGGAGAGTGTTTGCTCTCAGCTTTCTCATCCTCCTGCGTGCTCTCTAGCATTGCTAGCAGCTGTCTAAAAAACACACTCGAATGATGAGCACACAATGGGTTGGAGGAGAAAGTGACCAAGTCCTGCTGTTCGTCCCTCTTCAGGCTGTCTCTTGAGCCTGCCACAAAAGCAGCTTTGGTGTAAAAGCGGAGGCTCCTTGTGAACAAAATGAACCCTAACCAAATAGTGAAAACAGTCTGCTTTGCCTCCTTGGACAGGACAGTTGCCCTATGGAGCAGCATCCTTGTGGTTAAAACGGAGCCCTCAGGGGTGTTTGATGACTCAAACACCAATGATGTCAAGGAGCAGTTAGGAGAGCCCTTGGACCCCCAGTCCTGCTCATGGAATTGCAACAGTTTGTTGGAAATAAGTACCATTCCCATCAAATAAAGAGAAGACACAGGAGTCCCACAAGAGTATCCACCTGCCACGCAGTAAGAACGTGCACCTCCCTGGGAGCCGTGTGAACATCTCTCCATGCAATCCCTCTGCGCAGCCCAAAGCCTATCCACAGGCGCAGGAGCGACCCCCAGTCCTGCTCATGGAATTGCAACAGTTTGTTGGAAATAAGTACCATTCCCATCAAATAAAGAGAAGACACAGGAGTCCCACAAGAGTATCCACCTGCCACGCAGTAAGAACGTGCACCTCCCTGGGAGCCGTGTGAACATCTCTCCATGCAATCCCTCTGCGCAGCCCAAAGCCTATCCACAGGCGCAGGAGCGCAGCGTCCCCCTCTACTGTCTCACCAAGAGACTTGCCTGACAAGGGGCTCTCTTCTCTCCTCTGTTTTCAGCTCTGCCAACTTGATAGAAGAAATCCTCTCCTGGCTAAGGAGGTGCTTTCCCAAAAGGCTCACTGTAAGCAGGAAACAAGTAGCCTCAGCAAAGCAGTGCATTTATGATGATTCAAAAATCAAGAAGAGAGAGCTCAGCTCTCTTCTGAAAATGCCCCAAACAACAACTGTGCTTCCCAGGTGGTCTTCTGGGGGCTCCGGACCCTTTCTGACACTGGCTCTCATGCAGCCTTCATTTCTGCAGTGCAAGTTTACTCCCCACAGTGTTGTTTTTTGACTGCTTTCCTCACCCTTATTCTGAATGAGGAGCTAGCTAGGAGATGCTGGTGACCCAAGAGAGTCCGGAATTTGGTATTATAATTTCAAAGGAAGAGAACAATTTCTTGGATCTTTGTCCTCATGACATATCCACAAGTGGATCCTTTGGCACATTGCCCCCACAGATATAATTTTGATAGAGCTGATCAAAAAGTTGCAAGATACCTGGGTAAACAGGAGTCACAAAAGGCATGTTTGGCTGCACCATGCATTGCAACCTCAGCTTTCACCCCCCTAGAAGAACAGGTAAAGGAAAACCTATGACGCTCTGTCAAGAGCCAGCTCTTACTTTACCTTTTCCCATGATCTTCTCATCAAGCGTCTCTCTCCCTGCTTTCTTTCCCTGGATAGACTTTAGAGTTCTTTTCCTGGAGGGTTTCCAGAATAATGGTCTACACACCCTCTTGATCTCCAGCCTGAAAACAAGAAGAGGCACCGCCTGGAGTAAAGGGCACCACATTCCCTTTGCAGCTTACTCTAATTATCAGGGCACAGAGGCGTGCTGGAGCTTCTCTAAATGCCACACCATCCCGTCATTTACTCAGCTCTCACAGAAAACAGGAAAATATCACAAGTGCATCACTTGTACAGATCTGGTCTTTGATCCACCTTCTGATGGATCCTCTCCACACTTCATCAACACATCCTCCAACCTCAGCGCACAGGGAACACCTCCATCTCCACCACACAGAGACATTGTTCAACAGGTTAACTGCACGCAACAGAAGCAAACATGCTCACCTTGGAAACATGAAGATACCTGGGTCACTGTCATCGCTCTGAGGAACAATGACTTTCCTGTCTATTATCACCAAGTCCTTTGTCACTGGATCCTGCAATGGTGAGAGGGATGCATGAGGTCGTTCCAAGGATTCCATCTTTCTCTTCACAGAAGCTGCCAGCCCTTGCACTGCTCAGGGATGGAGGGGTCCCTCTACAACCCTCCAACTCAGGACTTTTCCATCAACACCAAAGCCTTGTTCTGACAGGGCACAGCAAGGAGTTGATAGTGGATAATAAACCACCAGGCTTTTTTGCAAAGGAAAAATAGAGATGCTCAGCCAAGAGCAGTTCTCTTACAGAGAAACCCTCAGCAGCCAGTGTGCAGGGTAAGACGGTGGATTAGCCAGGTTTGGCCCAGGGCAGTTCTTGCAAGCATCACTGACGCACTGGGCAGCAGGCAGAGCTCTGTGCAGCCTTGGCAGCACGGTAGCCCACGTGGCTGCGCAGGTCACAGCCAGCCAAGAGAGACCCGTCCTCAAGTGACACAGGAGCATGGCTAAGGACTTCAAATGCTGGGAAGTAGTAGGAAACAAGAACCCCCACCCACACCACTTACATGGAGAAAGGCTTCTGCCAGCCTCCCAGTCTGATCTAGAGTATCAAGGAACTCTTTGTAAAATCTCATCCGCACTCTCTTTTCTCGGATAACGAGAACACCAATATCTCTGAAAACAAAGTCCACATCGTATTCGCAGCCAAGAAGGTGGGAGAGACAAATCATGGTCTCCCCTATGCACTGCTCCACTATCCTCTTGCGAAAGAAGGGCTCCAAGCGCATCTTGTGGTGGTACACCGGCAGAATCATCACGTCACCTGGCGCACCACGAGAGAGCGACAATCACACACCTCGCCACAGAGCAAATTAATAGGAAGGTTGCGCAGCTCCAGGCCCACAGGCAATTTGTTGCTGCACTGCTGGCACCCTCAGTGCCACGCTGTAGCTGCAGGATTGGCAGCATCGACCAGAAACCAGAGCTAACGTGGTCACCAGTGGTGCTTTGTACCAGCTGTTGCCTCCAGCTCTGTTTTGAGACTGTCTTCAACCGAAGCCAACCCACCTTGGACTGGGCTGAGTCTGTAAAAGCTGGTCTGGTGCCTGCCTACATGCGTTCTGGTGTGATGCAAATATGGACCAGCTTTCAGTTGCCATTAGCCAGCAGTCACCCCAATACCAGCCAGCTATGAGTGGCACAGAGCTGCCCTTCAACATCTTTCAAAGACAGACAGTTTAATTTTACAGAATGCTGAAAAAAGTTATTCTGAAAGGGTCATCCTTATACACTGCTACTTGGTAGGCAGTTAATTTGGATGAGCTGGAATTGCTTCTGGATGTTAGGGAGGAAATCCCCGTGCGAGCACTCAGCCCGGAGCAGCCCTGGGTTTTCATCGCACTTTACCAGGAATGTCTCTATTAGTGTACTTGATCTGGTGAACCACTGCGACAGTCGCAGATAGATTAAATACAGGTCTCTGAACAGGAAGGTCATCGTCCCTTGTTGGTAAATACTGTCTAACAACGAAGAATGTCCCAAGTCCATTGATTTTCACCCCCTAAAAACAGAAGAACAAAAAGAAAATAAGAGACTGCCGAGCACCAGGGCCTGTGGGAAGGAGCAGGGTGCAAGCCTCACCCTGTTCAGCAGCAGGTGCCGATGGATGTACTCCGACACGCCGTTCCAGATGCTGACAATGTCTGGAAAGCAAGTGAGAGGCAGGTCACACTGCCACCAAGGAGCTCACACCCCTATTTGCGGGGGCAGCAAGGTAATCACCTCCCTGGCTCCCCATATCGATGGACAGTGTCAATTCTTGGACTTGAAAACCCTGTCATGGTCTGGAGCTGAAACAGAGACCTGAGAAGTGCTTTGGCCGAGGGGATCCTGCAGCCAATACCCAAATTAGGAAGTATTTGGAGTTCAGAGCTCTGCTGCGAGGGATCCTGTCAGAGACAGTAACTGCAGTAGATGAAAATTTGAAGGCTTCATTCCTATCATCGGGCTCCCAGGGAGCCTCTCTGCAGCCCAGCAGGAGCTGCAGGACGCCTTGGCCTTCTGGAAGCAGGCTCAAGAGATGCCGATCCTCTCCTTGAGAGGAACACACATGCCAGGCACCGGAGCCTGCTCCTGGGTGCTGCCACAGCCAGGCCTTACCCTCCTGCTGGAGCTCCATGAGCATCAGGTACCGGTGCAGCTGGTAGCGCCTGTACAGAGCGTCCCAGTGTGTCGCCATCGCTGCCTCGCTCAGGGATGGTACCTGCGGCCGAGAGCGACCAGGGACCCTTCACCCCCAGCCCCCTGCAGCCCCTTCAGCATGCGGAGCTCATCCAGCTTTCATGGGACGCACAGAGAAGGCTGGTGGCACTGCAGACCAAGGAACCATCACCATGGCAAGGGAATGTCCCATTGTGACCCCCACCAGGCAACAATCCCGGCCACATTTGCCATATGATAGAAGAACCCGTCACCGAGACGGGGCAACTGCGCTGCTTTGGGAAGCTGTGCCCACCCTAGGTGTGGTGGGAGCATCCCGCTCTTACATTGTTTTTAAACCCAAATCACCCAGGCCCTTTATCTGCGGGGCGAACATCCCTCCTGCACCCTTTTGACGGAACAGATGGAGCCTCAAAGGCAAAAATCCTGCCAGCAAAGGCACCAACTGCCCGGTCTTCCTGACAAAAATGCAGGTGCCATTGGAGCTAGCAGGAAAAGCTGCAGAAGGCAGAGGGGGGTTTGGCTCTGTCCCACCTGCCAGCCAGGGGCTGGAGAAATCTCCCCACTCCACTTGGCCTGGATCCCACACAGGGCCTCTATTCTGAGTCACAAACATTTTCAGAGGAAGAAAGCATCAGATGATCCCATCCCTGCTTCCCCTCAAGCACCACAGAAAAGGCACTTCACTTTGGAAAAAGCCACAGTAGGGGCGCACGTTTTTATTCCTATGAGCACCCAGGGAGAGCAGATTCCCCGGCATCAGTCAGCAATGCTCCCAACACGTGTGACGCTCGAGTCCTCCTATGCCAGTGATCAGGGTGAGCATGTCGGCCACGCAGGGACACTTTCCTTGGACACTGGCTCACTTCAAAGGCAGCCTCCGTGACTCTTTTCCTTAGGGGCACCTGCAGTTGCGACAGGAGCTCTGCTCGCAACGGGAAGGACGGGAGGAAGGGGAGCAGATGAGACAAGGGAGCCCTGGGAAAACCATCCCCGATACTGCCCCAGCCAGCAAGGCCTTGGTGGCACTGTCAGGGTGATGACTAGGGAGAGATTTCCTGGGCCCACAGAGCTCTGTCCTGGTCCAGCTGCGCCACGGCCTGCACGAGGTCCTGCACTACCAAATCCACGTCCGCCCGCGTCGTGTCGCGGCCCACGCTCAGCCGCAGGGCGTTCTGCGCCACGTCGTAGGGGATCCCACAGCTGAGCAGAATGGAGGAGGGCCTGCAGCACAGACACAGAGACGCACAGGCTTTAACTTAAGGGCCAAGGAAGCACCTGCATCACCCAAGAGCTTCATGGAAGGCATAAGCTTCATTTGCCCATCTGTGCAAGCACACTGCAGACCAAGGACGCCTCCCACACAGCAGCCTGCCCGCTTTCTGAAGGCACCTGCTCCTGCTGGCCTCACTGGCCTGCAGGGGGTCTGGCCCCTTCCCTTCCAGGGAGGGATCTCCCAGGGTCCTTCCTTTCCTGGCTGCTTACCTATCGCCCTTCTCTGAGTGGCAGGGGGCTCCAACACTGGCCAGAAGCGTCTTGCAGCGTGACAGCACCCTGTGCCCTGCAGCACACACAAGCTCAGGTCACCCAGCACCCAGGCTATCGCTGAGGGCAGCCCAGGATGCCCTGCTGGCCTCTTCCATGCCCTTGCCAAGCTGCAGCTGGCTGCCTGCATGCGTCAGGCCTGCAGCGAGCGGCACAGCGCAGGGAAGACGGAGGGCATGGGAGATGCATAGGCAGAGCTACCTTGAAGGCCTGGGCCCAGGATGGAGAAGTTGCAGGTGTTGCAGAGCCGCTTGGAACCTGCAAACTTGCTGTTGAGGTGGATCCTCTGCTTCCCGAAGGAGGCCTGGAAAAATCAGAGGGCTCTTAAGCACTCTGGGAGCGTGAGCAGCTCTGTTCAGGTGAGGAAGCGGTGGGAGCACAGAGCCATGTGCACCCTGGCTTCAGACCCTGGGGAAAACACCTGGTCCTCCCTCACAGATACCTCTGTATTGCCCCACCAACAACCCTGACAGCCCCAGGTAAAGTGAGCAACAGCCCAGAATGGCAACTGTAGCCTCACAGTCCCCCAGCAGCAGGGAGGAGATGGGCGAGCAGCTGGGGCAGCTGCCAGACACAGCAGATGGGAGCCACTGAGCTGAGCTCGCAGTGCTAGGATGAGGGACATACGGGCTGGGACTTCTTGCCACGCTAACCAGGAAGGTGGTAGCTCCTTCGCTACCACCTGCCCTCTCTTCTGCCTGCCACACTGTGAGCTGTGACCCAAGGAGAGAAACAGGTAGTAATCGGGTGCGCTTACCTCCAGCCTGGCCTCCAGATAATCCCGGACGTCCCGCATGTGAGCCTCGTACACCTCCCAGTTCTTAATTACTAGCTCTGCGGCCTGAGGAGAAAATCCCCAGATGGGCTCCATGAGCCAGCTCGCACAGGCAGCCTCCCAGCATGCAAGGCCAGCCCAGGAAGAGCCTCTGCGACTGCCTCGTCACCCACACATCCCTGTCTGGCTGTACTTCACCCTCAGCCACGACCAACTCACCTTGCCGAGGCCAGCAATCATCGGGGTGTTCTCGGTGCTGGAAGAGGGAGCAGTCACTGGTCACCATTGTGGACGTGCAGGGTGCACAGCCTGCCCCTCCGGCCCACGCTGAGCCACCTTACCCTGGACGGAAGCTCCTCTCCTGCCCCCCGCCAAAGAGCATGGGGTGCAGCGGGGTGGCAGTGCCGGGGCCACGCACGTACAGCGCGCCAATCCGCGGGGCGTAGAACTGCGGCGAAAGCGGCCACTGAGCCACGGCCCGGGGGCTCGACCCCCTTTAGCAGGGCACACGCCTGAAGCCAAGAGCCCTCCAGCGCATCTGCCAATGGGACACTGGGCTACCCCAAGAGTGCAAAGAGCCAGGTAGGACCTGCCCTCGATCCAGCCACCCCTTTCCTCAAGGTGGCATTCACAGGAGATAGATCCAAATCTCTCCCAGGTAACAAACTCCTGCTCCACAGCTGGAGTGAGGGTCCCCAGACAGGATCCCAGCGCCCTGCATGGAACCACTGGAGGGATGTGCTCTATCCCCACGTGCTTCTCGTCCAGGCACAGCTGGTTTTCTCCATCCTCGCCCTTTGTGCTTCCAGCGGCTGCACTGCGGCCAACACCTGGGCACTGCAGCAGGGATGCGCTGCAGGGAGCGCAGCCACACGAGGCAGCCCGTACCTTGTGCCCCACGATGGTGAGGTAGTCCACACCCAGCTCCTGCACGTCCACGCGGCCCTTGCCGATCATCTGGGCCGCATCCGTGTGCACCAGGACGCGGGGCAGCCCCGCTGCCACTCTCTTCTGGTTGAGGCCATGGACGCGCTGGCTCAGCTCCGAGACAGGCTAGCAGGGAGGCAGAGGGGCTGTGTCTGAGCAGCTGTTGGATCCTCTTTATCGTGCTCTTTTCCAAGGATGCCTCCGGCACACTGCACAGCCCCATCTCATCCCACTCGCTGCCCGCAGCTCACCATGACGACACCAGTCTCATTATTGGCCAACATGACGGAGATCAGGCATGTGGTCGGTCGCACCGCGGCCAGGACATCATCCACTTCGGCCCGCCCGCTTCGTGTGGACACGGGCACAAAGGTGGCTTCTGCAAGGCAAGGAGAGCGCCCCGGGAACGGGCAGTTCAGAGCCGTGCCCAGGCGCCCCCAGCCCTGCCCTGCCGGCAGCGGCCCCGGCTCACCTGCCAGGCCCTGTTCCACGAGGTGCTCCAGCGGCA